CTATTCTCCAAGTGCTGTTGCTGAAGAAGCTGAAGCTAACTGGTTCTATGAAGACCTACAAGACCTTCTAAACTAAGAGCAAAAAAGGATGTCCTTTTCATTACAGGGGATTGGAATGCAAAAGTAGGAAGTCAGTCAAGAGATACCTGGAGTAACAGGCAAGTTTGGCCTTGGAGTACAAAATGAAGCAGGGCAAAGGCTAACAGAGTTTTGTCAAGGGAATACACTGGTCATAGCAAATAACTATAGCAAATAACTTTTCCAATAACACAAGCGACAACTTTACACATGGACATCCCCAAGTAGTCAATACCAAAATCAGGTTGATTATATTTTTTTGCAGCCAAAGATAGAGAAGTTCCATACAGTCAGCAAAAACAAAACCTGGAGCTGACTGTGGCTCAGATCATGAACTCCTGGTTGCAAAATTCAGGCTTACATTGAGGAAAGTAGGGAAAACCACTGGACCATTCAGACAGGGTCTATCAAATCCATTTCACAGTGGAGGTGATGAATAAATTCAAGGGATTAGGTCTATAGACAGAGTGCCTGAAGAACTATAGACAGAGGTTCATAAAACTGTAGAGGAATCAGTGACCAAAACCAACCCCAAGAAAGAGAAATGCAAGAAGGTAAAGCTGTCTGAGGAGGCTTTCCAAATACCTGAGGAAAGAAGAGAAGCAAAAAGCAAATGAGAATGGGTTAGATATACCCAAAGAAGAACAATGCAAAGTCATAGAGGCAAACAAGAGAATGGATAAAACTAGAGATCTCTTAAAGAAAGTTTGAGATATCAAGGGAACATTTCATGCAAGGATGGGCATGATAAAGGACAGAAATGGTAAGGACCTAACAGAAGGAGAAGAGATTAAGAAGAGGAGGCAAGAATTCACAGAAGAACTACACAAAAAAGTCTTAATGATGGGATAACCTCAATGGTGTGGTCATTCACCTAGAGCCAGGCATCTTGGAATGTGAAGTCAAGTGAGCCTTAGGAAGCATCACTACGAACAAAGATAGTGGAGGTGAGGGAATTCCAGATGAGCTATTTCAAATCCTAAAAGATGATGCTATTAAAGTGCTGCACTCAATACGCTATTAAATTTGGAAAACTCGCACTGGAACGACCCAGAGGGATGGGATTGGGAGGGAAGGGGGAGGGGGGTTCAGGATGGGGAACACATGTAAATCCATTGCTGATTCATGTCAGTGTATGGCAAAAAGCACTACAATATTGTAAAGTAATTAGCCTCCAACTAATGAAAATAATTGGGAAAAAATAAATAAATAAATTTGGAAAACTCAGCAGTGGCCACAGGACTAGAAAAGGTTCGTTTTCATTCCAATCCCAAAGAATTGGACAATGCCAAAGAATGTTCAAACTATTGTACAATCGTGCTCAGTTCACATGCTAGTAAAGTTATTCTCAAAATACTTCGAGCTAGACTTTAGCAGTACATGAATGGGGAACCTCCAGAGGTACAAACTGGGTTTAGAAAAGGCAGAGGAACCAGATATCAAACTGCCAACATTCATTGGATCAGAGAAAGAAAGGGAGTTCTGGAAAAACATCTGCTTTATTGACTGCAATAAGCCTTTGACTGTGTAGATTGCGAAAAACTGTGGAAAATTCTCAAAGTGATGAGAATACCTGACTACCTTACCTGTCTCCTGAGAAACCTGTATGTGGGCCAAGAAACAATTAGAACCTTATATGGAACAGCTGACTGGTTCTAAATCAGGAGAGGAGTACAAGTTGTATATTGTTATCTGTTTATTTATCTTATATGCAGAGTACATCATCCAAAATACTGAGCTGGGTGAATCACAAGTTGGAATCAAGATTATTGGGAAAAATATCAACAACCTCAGATATGCAGATGGATACCACTCTAATGGCAGAAAGTGAAGCTAAAAAATTATCTCAGATTTACCTGTAGTTAGGTGAAATGTCAACATACAAAACATTCAGTTCTTATTGATGACTGTATTATAGATTTCATAGACTTGTTAGTAAATATGTTCAACAGTATTTTATTTAAACATTGAAACAAGTTTTAGTTTGTTTCTTGATGAACATAAATTGCATGGAAATTTTAGCTTGTAGAAATGTCCGTAACTATTTTTGTAGAAGGTGTCCATAAAAACAGAAACATCAAAATTTTGAAAGTAGAAATAACATCTCCACTCACAAATTATTAAATTTTTCATTTAGTATTTCATATTTTTGAATAGTATCTAATATTGCCAGTAGCCCCAAATTCCTGTGCTTGTGGATAAAAATTTAGGACTCTCTCTGATCCCTTTGATCTGAGACATAGGGTGTGTCCTCTGGACTGGGTTATTCTCTGATTGGGTTCACTCTCTTCCCATATAAAAACAGAATCAGAGACAGAAGTCACTGTGCTTTCTGGCAAGGCACAGGCTATCTGCCTCTCAGCAGTGAGTCAGGAAGTGAGTCAGCTCTTGGAAGATGGGGGAACCTGCATTGACCAGGTTTCTAAGCCAACCTCTTCTGGTGTGTGTGTGGAATCCATATTGTTGGCAAGAGTATTCATTAGGATGCTTTTTTCTTGTGTGAAATCTCAGTAAGCAGAATTTAGCTCTTGAAATAAGAAGATACCTGGTAGCTCAGTGGTAAAGAATTTGCCTGCCAACAAGAGATGACAGAGACTCTGGTTTTATCCCTGGGTCAGGAAGATGCCTGGAGAAGGAAATGGCAACCCAATCCACTATTCTTGCCTGGAAAATCCCATGGACAGAGCAGCCTGCTTTTTAAAAAAACAAAAACAAAACAAAACCAAAATCCTTAGGTAGTGGAAGTAGTTTTTGGCCCTAGAGTAGTTAAATCATTCTCCTCTATGGACAATTCTTTGCCCACAGATTGTCTGGTCTTTTTTTTTTCTTCTTGTTTTTTAAAATTCTGTTCTGTGCTTCGAATAGGCCTTCTCCAATCTCTTGTCATCCATCATTGCAGATAATTTATTTTCCTATTCCCCCTCCTTACTTCTTGCTACATCTCCCCCTTATTCCCTCTGTTTCTATGTTGATGTTACTGTTTATCATAACACTTAATTATATTTAACACTGTTATTAAACATTTCTTAGTTTATGACCCTTTTCTCTCCCCAAGATGAAAATAATCAGAGTACTGAATTGGTTAAGTTAAATTCTGAGTCTTGGGTTTTAGTAAACAACTCAGCATATAAGGGTTGATGGATATATAGGCAGATCAACTCATTTTTCTATCAAACATTCCATTATATCTTGACTAATGCAAGAGTTGGTCTAATAATAATGTCAGGAAAACAGGAATAAAATGAGGTTTATGGTTTCCCTTAAAAAATATCTTCAGGAGACAGAAATGTGAGATTTCAAGGAGAGGAGCCTCATCAGATGGTTTACAACTTAAATAGATTAGTGTGATGAGTCTCATAATGGATCTCAGAAAGGATTGAAATCTTAGTGGCAACTGATTGCAATTTAGCACAAAAGAGATAAACTCATTTTATAATTGTAGTTGTGTGAATTTGTTAGAAAAACTTGGAAAGTGCTTTTTGGAGTGTGCATAGTTTCTCTAAGAAAAGATATTTGTGCACCTTGGAAAGTGAAAGTAATAAGTGATTATATCTAAGAAAATATTAAATTTCTCTGTCTTCATTCAGTAGTCAACTTATTGAGAAAGGCAATCAAAGATAAGTAGATAATATTACACATAAAATTTAAAAATTAACAGAGAGACAATATAAGATTTATTTTGATATGGCATCAGGAAAGGTCATTCTGTGGAAATGGTACTTTGTAGATCAAATGAAAGGTGCCCAAGAATTATTGAAAAATTGGGAAGCTTCAGGTGGATTCAGAAGGTCAAATGGTTGGCTAATTGGCATAGAGCGTGAAGTGGTAGGGTGTCCAGACTGCCATTCAGGGTTAGACGGGATATTAGTTCCAATAAGTGAGTTTATCGGGACATTGAGATAAAGATGAATTATTTGGGGAAACTGGTTGGTTCAGCTTGTGACCTGGTCACTGTGAGTTGAGTCATGAATATTATCGCTGATGTGGTGGGTGCACAGATGAATATTTGCCTTTTAGAGTTGAACTCAGATCAAGGAAACTGAGCATTTCTTGTTCATTAAAAGTATTTGAAGCCAGGGAAATGGATGGGATTGCCTGGAAGAAGGTGTAGATGTAGAACAGATGTGAAAGCAGGACTGACTTATAAGAAGCAAAAATCATTAAGTGAGATAAAAGAGAGCAGTAGGAGGGGAAGAAGGGAGAAAAATAGTTGTTTACAGTGGAAAAAAGGAACTTTATGAAGAGAATATGGCTTTTCTAAGTTATGTAATAAGCAGGAGAATATTTGAGGGAAGATGGGACTTGGGTTTGAAAGCAAAGTATCTGAGAGTTGAGAGGTACATGATCACACTGGAGATGAGGTACTAAAGGATGGTGAAAATTAGATAATTGTGAGTCTTAAAGGAAAGTAAAAGAAGAGATATCAGAAAGTTTAATGTCTTGATATTCAAAGAACCCTGTCATCTCTTTGTCCAGGTGATGTTGGATTCAGGGGACCGGCATGTTTGTGCTTGACAGTGACAAGGATGGGAAAAGGAAAACATCCTCAACGGAGGATGAGTAGGGGGAAGTCTGGAATTAATACTGGATGATGACCTGGAGCTTTCTGTTCTTTGAATATCTGCTTGATGCCCCAGGATTCAGTTCTCAGTGTGTGGTGCCTATACTAGCATCATCACCATCCAATGGGGATGCTTGGAAATGCAATCTTTTGTCTCCACCCCAGACTGTTGGCATTGAGAGCCCAAAGTCTGAGTTCTGTCAATCCACTGAATAAATATGATGCACAGAGAAATTTGAGATTCATTTCACTGGGAAGAGTGCAGTTTGGTTATCCAAATGTGCTGAAAACATTCTCTCTGACCGGCAGTGGTTTCATCCCCATTTTGTTCACATCTTTACATTTAATTTTGTTTTCAAAGGGGAGGTTCAAAAGAAATATGCCCAAAAAATTGGAGAAGAAAAGACAAGAGCTTTTCGCCAAGGCCAAGCAGAGACATCATGACAAATCTGTACTTCCTCTGAGGCTGACCAGATGCACTTTCCAGAAGCCAGTCACAAGGATACCCTCCCATCCTGGAGATGTGGTCAGGCACCGCTGATGCGAGGGGATCCTGGGAGAAGCTGCAGCAAGTCTGTGCATTCAGGAGGCTGCAGGAGCTCCAGGCCTACAGCCCTGAAGGAGAGCCTTTCAGGACCTTGGACAGCACAAATGTTTTGTGGGTGATTGCTGCTCTGCACACCAGCCCTGAGCCCATCACTGCTGTCTTCAGACAAGGCAGAAGACCCAGGATTGGGACTTTTGTCCCAGGATTGGGACAAAAACAAGAGGCATAAATGTTTTTGTGGATAAGAGATTGGGTTTCATGTGACAAGAGTAAAGATTTTTGCATATCTTTGTACACCTCAATTTCTGCTTGTCAGAATTTCTTTATTGAATTCTACAAAGGCAGTCTAGCTTGGGGAATTATTTAGTGTTTTTAGTTATTATGTTTTCTTACATTACTTTTACTTAAGCAAGAAACAATCTGTTCTAAATAGATTATTTTAAGCTTGCTTTTAATTCTCCTTTTTAACATGAGTTACTTCCTTTCTTTTTATCATTCCTGTGTCAAGTGCTAAATCAGACAGATGACATTTTACTGTAAATCAATTAGCACTTATGCTATGTGTTACATCCTTATCTGTTACCTAAAAACTGTGTGTATTGTTTTTGAAGAATGTCATTTTGTAAAATGTTATTTGTTTATTTCAGTTTTGGCTGCACCGAGTCTTCCATTGCTGCCAGCGGCTTTCTCTAGCTGTGGAGAGCCGGGCTAGTCTCTAGCGGTCATGCCCAGGCATCTCCTGTGGTGCCCTCTCTTGTTGCAGAGCGTGGGCTCTAGGTGCTCGGTTTCACTGTTTCTATCACATGGACTTAGTTACTCCAGTGCATGTGAAATCAGGGATCAAACCCTCGTGCCCTGCGTTGGCAGGCAGACTTTTAACCACTGAACCACCAGGGAAGTTCTACACGGGTATCCTTAAAAATTAGATTTGAATTTTGATTCTTAAGAAGGAACATGCTTTTTGGAAACATTTTCTGCTGAAAATGACTTGCCAGCAATCTTGCTGCCCTGACCAAAAGTAAGTCCAAGTCACTGAAGTTTGTTCACCTCACAGTGTTGGGCCCATCATATTTGGTAATTTTTCAAGAAACACATCATTGCTTATTCAATAAATAATTCATTTTACTTATAAACACTCCATTCAATAAACACCATAATTGTTTCCATTGAACACATTTGAACACATAGAAGGTGGAATAAAGGTGTCATGCTACAGAAGTCCCAGGGGGACAGTATCAGGAAGGAAAATAATGACATTTTCTGAAATTCTTTGTACAATTTTGATAAAGTTGCTTTATCAGTAGTGAAGAGGGAAGGCTGATTCCAGAGGGCCAAAGAGAACTTCCCTGGTGCCTCAGATGGTAAAGCGTCTGCCTACAACACGTGAGACCCAGGTTCAATCCCTGGGTTGGGAAGATCTCCTGGAGAAGGAAATGGCAACCCACTCCAGTATTCTTGCCTGGAAAATCCCATGGATGGAGGAGCCTGTTAGGATACAGATCATGGGGTTGCAAAGAGTCGGACACGACTGAGCAGCTTCACTTTCACTAAAGAGTGGCTGATAAATAGGACAGAGAGTGAGTAGAGGTGGGCAGCTATGCATTCTGTCAACAGGCTCTGGATTTAACTCTGTCATAAGTCCCCCACTTCGGGTAGTACTTAGATTTTCTTCTGTGATTTCAAAGTTCAAGCCACCAATAAATTTGTTCGGGTTCTCGAGTTTTCTCCATCATGGACTTGGTTACTTCAGCCCGATTCCCTGAAGATGAGGGAGATGAGAGAGATTTCAGGGATGGATGCAGACTGAACCTGTCCTGCCTCTGTGGTGAGAGCATGTGCTGCTCCAGAAAATACTTCTAGGAGCACCTCCAGGGGGACCCAGCATTGCTGCTATGGCCACTGAGCGCCTGCACCATTGAACCAGTCCTGGGCACCTTTCTGTCTTCCTACAAAACATCATTTGAACAGAATTACCATTCCAGATCCAAATATAATCAAAATTAATATAATGTATTAATATATATTAACAGCAATTAATATATTAATTTATAATAATATATACTAACATATATAATTTATGTTATAAATATATAACATAATATATATACTATATATGATCTACATATAATATATATTTATGCTTCAAATATAATATATTATATATTAAACATATATATTATATATAAATCATATATATCATATATATAATATATAATATATGATATATAATATAATATATAATAATACATTATATTATATAACATGATATATATGTATAATAAACATATATACACTATATTATAATATATAAAATAATATATACATTATAATACATGTATAATGTATATATTTTATCTATAATATATAATATAATACATATACATATAATATATATTATAATAAATATATAATAATATATACATATAGTACATATAATGCACATATTGTAATACATATACATAATATATATACTATATATTATATATAATATAATAATATGATAATTATATTTTATAATTATATATAATATATAATTATATTAGTATATCATAATTTAACAATACAATATATGATGTATTATATAATATTATAATTATAATATAATATATAATGATATGTATAATTCTCTATTAATTACTTAATAATTATATATTATAATATATGTTATTATATATCTGGTAATATATAATATATAATATATCAATAAATATATTAATAATATTAATAACATCAAAATATAATAATAATACAATATCATAATAATAGAATGTATATATTATATGTATTATATAATATAATAATATAATCATACAAATAATATATATAATCTATAATATATACAATAAAATATTAGTATATATACTAATATATACAATGATATATATTAGTATATATAATAACATATTAGTATATATAACATATATAATTATAATATATAATATAATATTATTATAATATAATAAAACATAGCATATAATTATATACATAATATATAATATATAAAAATATATATATAATAATTTTATGTATTGTATAATACTTATATGATAAATATAATATATTATAGATATATATCTTTATATAATACATATGTTTATTATATATTTAATATTTATAAAATATATAAATATATATTAAAATATATTTAAAATATAAATATATATTATATATAGATAATATATATAATAGTTTTAATGTATATTTATATATAATTTATATAATATAATATTAATAATATATCATATATACAATAGTATATGTTGGTATATATAACATATACATATATATTAGTATATATAATAATATATGTTATTAAATACAATATATTATAATTATAATATATAATATATATTAATATATTGTATATAATATATGTGATATATATAATATATACTATATATAATATAGTATATATATTATGTATGTTTGTATATATAATATATATGTTTAATATATATTAAAATATATTTAAAATGTATATATTATATCTAGATCATATATAATAGTTTTTATTTTTTATTTTTATATAAATATATCTATATATAAGTTATATAATTAATATGTGTAAATTTATATTATATAATATAACATTATAATTCATAATAATTTATAATTATTATACTAATCATATAATAATTTTATAAATTTATATACTCATTATATAATCATTATGTGATAATCATTAATGAAGTCAAAATAATATTAATCTTTAATAATTAAATTATATAAATTGTTTTATTAAATTAATAAATTATTAATACTGATATAATTTATAATTGTAATATAAATAAATAAATATAAATATATTATCTGAAAAATATATGTATTCACTATTCTAAAAGACATAAAAATTAGTTAATAATAATAATCCTCAAATGCTTCCCCAAAAAGCAAAAAAGAGGGCAGAATTTCTAACTTATTCCGTGAGGTCAGTATTAGCCTTATACTAAAGCGAGACAAAGACAATACAAAAAAGAAACAACAGATGAATATCGATCTTCATGAATACTAATAGAAATATCTTCAACAAAGTACTAGCACGTAGAATTTAGCAACATAATCAATGGATTTTGAATAATAACCAAATGGGATTTTTTTTGTCGGAAGCTAATAATGGTCTTTTATATGAAAACCAACCAGTGTAACACAGCACATTTAAAAAATTATGGGAAAAAAAATTACGGAAAAAAAATTCATGATCATTTTAATTGTTGCAGGAAAAGGATTAAAAACTTTAACACCATTTCATGACAAAAGCACTCAAAAGAGTAAGAATACAAGGAAACTCAAATAGAGGTCATGAAAAACCCATAGGTGACATCCTTTTTAATACATTCTGAAAACATTTTCTGTAAGATCATGAACTCAAGAGAAAGATGACTGCTTTTGTCACTTCAAGTCACCATAGGAAAGGAATTCCTGCCCAGAGGAACTAGGCAAGAAAAATAAAATATACCAAGGCATCCACGTAAGGAAGATGTAAAATTATTTCTATTAGAACATGACATGAACTTGTACATAGAATCCCTAAAGATTACACATTCATATTAACCATTCACAAAAGACACACACAAACACACGTATGCAGTTTCAGAAACAATTATAAGTGAATTCAGCAAAGTTACAAGATATAAATTAACATAAAAACCATTTGTGTTTCTATAGCATAAGACAAAAAGGAAAAAAATTCTTTTGAAAAAACATAACCAATGAGACAAAAGACCTGTACTCTGAAAACTACAAACACTTACTGAACAATATTAAAGGAGACATAAAAATGGAAAGACAATCCATGTCATGAGTTGGAAGACTGATATTGCTAAATGATGATACTAACCAAAGTAACATACAGATTCTATTCAATCCTAAGAAATTCTGGCAACATTTTTACACAAATAGGAAAATCTATCCTAAAATTCATTTGAAATCCCAAGGGACTTGGCCAAAACAATCTTGAAAAAGCAGACCAAAGCTGGAGCTATCAAACATCCTGA